TCCCTACAGCTCAAAATATCAGTTTGACTAATTCTATGAATAATCCAATATGAAGTTTGGTTTTAAGCATATTCTTGATTGTTTTGAATATCTGACAGTTTTACGACCTGAAATACTGGTGTTTGTCACATAAAATATAGCAAATTTCTGTAAAAGAAAACTGGCCAAACGTATTAATTTTTCTGTTGTGTTCCTGAAATTGCTCTGTAGTTCAAGATGTCAATGATTTACGTTGATAGCTACCAACCTTTCATGTTTAATCAGTTGAGTCAGGTTTTCAATTTTCATTAGGGGAAAATTGACTATAAAAAAACCTGTAGTTTCTAGAAATACAGACTCCTGTATTTAAATTAATGTCATAATCGTCTGCAAAAGAAGAAGATATGCATTCATTGGTACAAAAATAGCTTACTTTTTTATACTGGAGTTTCTGTTCCATTTTCGTTCATCTTTCCAGTATGTAGTGGAAATTCTGTTATGGCACATGCTAAACCTGAGAGATTTCTAGATGACCTGTAGATTATGACCTTAAACTGAATCAAGACAGGTTTCCTGTTGCTTTCTTACCAATTTATTAAATAGGTAAGCTCTGGTAATTGCCTTCAAATTCCAGAAATTTCCAAACAGAGTTTCTGGTTTTGTCAGGGAGTTGGGACAAAAATCCCCTACCCCTGTTTTTCATTGCATCACACTGTAAAGCAGGTCCTTGAAAACTGACATAAACCAGCCCTACTGTTGCCTGAAGGAGCCTTGTTTCAGCTCTTCTTTGCCCATCTTGCTGCTTTTGTAGCTGCTCATTCTGGGTTGCCATTTTACCTGTTTGCCCTGTTATCCTGGCAAAAACTGACCCAGGAAATAAAAAAGGTAATTAATGAACGAGATCAGTTCTTTTCATCGGGTGAACTTCACGGCCACACAAATAGTGGACTGGTGCAAAGAAATGGCAGGGGACAGAGCCTGGGCATGAAATCAAGATTTAACACCAGTTAAAAGGTTAATCAAGCCACAGTCTAATCAAGAGAGTAGAAGCTGTTCTTTAATTCTTGTTTAAGGCAAATATAAGAATTTATTTTCATTTTTCTATTTTTTTTGGTTTATTTCTCTTCAAAGATCATAAAATTTAAAAGCTAGAATTCTCAGCTCATTTGCCAAGG